CTTCTTTGGATCTGTGCGCCAATATGTAGGCCAGCCCGGAGAAATAAAGTCAAGCTTGTTTCGTGGTGTTATTATACAGTTGTCTTTCCTTCGGGTTGATGAGTCGGGATCCCCAATTTGTGCACCTCCATGCGCCTTACCATCGGGATGATTTGTTTCATATAATTGATACCTACCAAAGGAGGCACCTTGTTATGTATGTGACAGGTCAGTTCGTTCACTGTCACACGAACTGGAGTCAGTTGGTTCGTAGACATCTGTCACTTCACATCGCTCTGCGCAGCGATCATAAATCAATACATATTATACCACACAATTGTTCACCAGCTGCAATTATAATATTCAATAAACAATACTAAATAAGCAATGCACGCATATCTAAAACTGGCGACGAGGATGGGATGAAAAAAAATATTTAGAGTGCGTACATTGTTTTAAAGTTATGTGTACATACTGGGGTTGGAAGTCTGGAGCCGTTCGACTTGGGTCATCCGCACAAATGGTCAACGTATATGGAGCGCTTTAATTTGTTCCTGCTGGCGAATGATGTCAAAGAGGATGAGCGGAAAAAGGCGGCATTTCTTACGCTTGCCGGAGCGCCCTTGTACGACCTTTTGACATCATTGGCATCTCCTAAACAGGTCAGTGAATTGAAATTAGCCGATATTTACAAAACTCTAACCGACCATTTGTCTCCACGTCCCTCCGAAATCGCCGCATTCTACCACTTTCACAAACGAGACCAACACGGGGATAAGTCCGTTAGCAACTATATGGCAGGACTTCGTACATTAGCAGTCGATTGCAAATTTGGAGCGGCGTTAGATCGGATGTTGCGCGACCGATTCGTATGTGGCTTAAGAGATGAAGGTCTGCAGAAAGGCTTCTTGGCAAATAAGGATTTGACTGTGCAACGAGCCTTAGAACGCGCCATGTCTAATGAAGCAGCAGCGATCAGTGCAATGGCTATTAGACAAACTGGCGAGCGTGGTACAGTCAACAACAAATACGATGGACAAGTATGTGGCGGCTGCGGAGGCCGACATTCCCGCAAGCTGTGCCCCCACCATGATACTGTGTGCCATTCTTGCGGTCATAAAGGGCATCTTAAACGAGTCTGCCGTAGCCCTGACGCAGCGAAGTCGACTAGATCTATATCAACATCCAACTCACAGCAAAGACATCGAGGGATGTCAACACACAGATCGTCTCGTGGAGAATCTGTCAACCAAATCGTGCCATTGGTCAATCAAAAGAGGTCAATTTCTCTTGTCATCAATGGGTGCACGTGTTCTTTTGAAGTGGATTCAGAGTCGCCAGTGACCATAATGACGGAAACCACGTTCAAAATATCTGGGCACAAGGACAGCCAGATCTCGCCAAGTGTGACTTGGACCTAACGGATTACCAACGCAACCAAATTCCGATTAAGGGTGTCATTGATGTGTCAATTCGTTACAATCGTCGTAAGATTGATAATCTGGCACTGATCATCGCCAATGTAGGAGGCTCAAATTTGGTAGGATGCAACTGGTTCGACGCACTGGGCATACGCATCGAAGGCGTGTTTGCAGTCAACAGTGGCGTCAACATAAAATCCGTGCTCAGTGAGTATGAGCATTTATTCGCTATAGAACTGGAGCACCATAACGGTCCGCCAGTTACACTGCATATCGATTCGGGCGTCGCCTCTGTGCGTCTGTCACCGCGCCGTATACCTTTCGCAATCAAGGGTCTGGTCGAAGAAAAGATCGAGCGATTATGCAAACAAGGCATTTTGGAGCCAGTAGAATACTCTCGTGCTAGTCGTCAAGGATGGATCCATACGCATCTGCGGCGACTATAAATCAACGTTAAATAAAGCAATCAAACCTCATTGCTATCAAATTCCAGGCGTCAATACCATATTAGCTTCGATCGAAGGAGGATCGATTTTTGCAAAAATAGATTTAGCACAAGCTTACCAACAGCTTGTGGTCGATGACAATTCAGCATTGCTTCAAACGGTATGCACACACAAGGGAGCATACAAAGTAACACGGCTGCAATTTGGCACATCATCAGCGCCAGGGATTTTTCAGAGTTTCATCGAGAATCTTCTACAAAACATCCACGGCGTTTTGCACTATTTTGATGATATAGTCGTAATGGGAAAAACAGAAGAAGAGCAGTTGGAAAGGCTCATACAAGTGTTCTCGCGTTTTCACAAGGCAGGGTTGCGCCTACGCAGAGACAAATGTCAGTTTGGAGTGCCATCAATAGAATTTTTGGGCTTCAAGATCGATGCCTGTGGAATTTGGCCAACTACTGACAAGGTAAAGGCAATTCACGACGCACCAGCACCCAACGACAAGAAGCAATTACAGTCATTCTTGGGACTGCTAAACTTTTACCATGCATTCTTGTCACAAAAAGCAACCGTGGCGGAACCTTTGCATCGCCTCCTAGATAAGCATGCGCGCTGGAAATGGGACGGAGAACATCATAAAGAGTTTAGTTACATCGAGCGACGTGTTAGTACACTACAATGAGGAACTACCATTAATACTAACATGTGACGCATCGCCTTACGGACTCGGAGCAGTCCTAAGTCATAAATTACCAGACGGCACTGTCCGGAACTGGCCGTTCTTTTACGTTGGTTACAGATCATCGTCCACTATTTGGGGATTTTCAACGCATCGAAAAGAGTACCGGATGTCATTTCATCAGTTATGCTGCGAAGATCAATCTTTCTCAATTCCTATAGTTATACACTGATACATCGTGCTGGATCAAAAATTGGAAATGCAGACTTCTTGAGTCGTTATCCAGTACCATCAGAAGTAGAAACAGCAACTAGCGGGGACGTATTAATGATTGAACTGGTAGCAAAGCCAATCGTGAGTGCTGACCTGATTGCGTCCCAAACTGGGTGTTAAGGGGATGGCCCAGCACCAAAATTGACCGTTCGAGCAAATTATATCCATTCTACTGCCGTCGTAATGAACTCTCTGCTAATAGAGGAGTTCTTGTGTGGGGGAACCGCGCAATGATCCCGCCACCCGCTCGAGAAACAATTTTAAGCGCACTTCATTCGCCACATCCAGTCATTGTGAAAATGAAGGCATTGGCCCGCAATTATGTGTGGTGGCCAAACATTGATGCAGACATCGAGCTTGTTGTAAAAGGGTGCATGCAACGCCAGCACAATCGCAATGAGAAACAGAAAACTGCAACTCACCACTGGAAGTCAGCCAAACGCCCCTGGTCGCGTCTTCATGTCGATTTCGCTGGACCGTTCTTGGGCAAGGTATTTATGTTGGTCGTGGACTCATATTCGAAATGGCTCGAAGTCGGCGTGGTCAGCTCAACCTCTGCAGCTGCCGCCATCAAATTTCTCCGACAGCTGCTTGCCACCCATGGGCTACCAGACGAGTTGGTATCAGATAATGGAACAGCGTTCACGTCGGAAAAATTCAAATTGTTCATGGAGAATAACGTTATAAGGCACATACGCTCAGCTCCGTTTCACCCGTCTACTAACTGTCAAGCAGAACGGATGGTAGAGAGTACCAAAAACTATTTTAAGAAACAAAACATTGATCTGAGCTTGGCCAGATACTTATTTAATCAGCATTCAACCCCACATGCTACTACAAATCGCTCGCCAGCAGAGCTATTATTCAATCGCGGGCTTAAGTCATACTTTGACAAGATACAGCCGCATGAAATAACCTTTGGTAAGGTTGTCGATCCCGGTAATGTTAAACCTCTCATTACAGGTAGTCCAGTTTGGGTTCGTAATTATTCACCTGGACATAAATGGATTGAAGACGCAGTAACCGATCAAATTGGCCCAATCTCGTACAAGGTACGCCTATCCGATTCTAGAGTCGTCCGGCGACATCAAGATCAACTTCGTAGTCGTGTCAGCCCAGCTAATGTCTCCGACTGCGAACCTAAAAACACAGAAGCACCTATTTCGTCGTCTAGTGACACCGAGCCAAGTATGTCCGATGTGGAAACTCAAAATGGATCGGGACCTTTACAGCCTGAAGTTGCAACGCCCTCATCGGCAACACCACGAAGATCTCATCGGAAGAGGCAGGCCACTCATTTCTATGCTGCCTCTGGGTGTTAAGGGGTGTTATGTATGTGACCGGTCAGTTCGTTCACTGTCACACGAACTGGAGTCAGTTGGTTCGTAGACGTCTGTCACTTTACATCGCTCTGCGCAGCGATCATAAATCAATACATATTATACCACACAATTGTTCACCAGCTGCAATTATTATATTCAATAAACAATACTAAATAAGCAATGCACGCATATCTAAAACACCTAGAATTGGTTTTTAGGCGAAACTTGGGCGGAAGAGATTTCTGTGGCTCCCCTGTATATGACATTTTGCAGCTTTAGTTGTGTAGCTGAATTATAGTTTTTATACCCTGTACCCAAAGGGTGAAAGGGTATACTAGTTTTGTGCGAATGTATATGACACAGAAGGAGGCGTGGCAGACCCCTGATCAGACACTATAAGAGCTAGGGACACAAAATTTTAAGTCCCGATGCCCTATGTGAATTCGCAGAAAATGTGTATTTGGAATTTCCTCCCTCTCCCCTCTTTAACGCAATGACCTATGAGTCCGTATGCCAAGTTCTATTATAATTGGCCGATGTAACAGGAAGTTATAGCCATATTTATAATCTCAGTCCAAGTACTGCCCGTTGTTGTTGCTCCGCTGTGCACAGACACACGAGACATACACAGACACACACAACCACGCATAATTATTCTACACATATGTACAGAGTATTTCAGTCGGGACACCCGACGTTAGCTTCTCCACTTGTTTTTTCTTACTTGTGGGAGTGGGTACAGGGTATTTCACTGTCGGGCTTGCACGACTGTAGCGTTGTCTCTTGTTTCTATTAATTTTTAGTGACTTTGTCCAAGAATTTCACCTGAATAGTCCAATTGCATTTTTATAATTATAATGTTTTAAAAAAGAATGAATACAAGTACCCCCATTGAATTTACTTATACAAAAAATACATTTTATTACCTACCAACTAGTAAATAGCTTAAAAGTGGTTGTCTGTAACACAAATATTAGCTGAAAATCAAATTCTGAGTAGGGAATTTTCATGGTTCAGTTTATCGATATTTTTAAACTAGCAAAAAATGTGTACCATTTCAAAATCCCTTTTGGTACTGTTTAGACTCCATTCGCTGCTGCAAAAGCTCCAATTGGCGTTTGGCCTCGCATTGTGGGAAGTTGTTTAAGTCATAGTACTGTGGTGCCAAACTGAGCAACCATTCAGCTAAGATAAGGGAGAAATTTATAATGGACATTGAAGAGTTTTTGCCAATACTCACGCTTCACATCCGTCACAGTACGTATATAATTTTTGGTAGTAAGCACAAACTCATTGTATATTACCCAATCAGGCTTATGATCCAAACATGTTGACGGATGAAGTTGTACATTTTGATTATCTTTAATGGTCAAGTAGTGGCCTGTACGCTCCAAGTGTGCCGCCTGCATAAAAAATCCCTGAACAAGGGCTTTGCGGATATTGACATAGTAATCTTTTGATGTAAACTCGGTGCTGGTTCGTTTCAAACTAAAACGGTCCATAATACGTGCAAGCTGCTGACGCACATTGTCGGCACTCTTCAGGGAACGAAAATTGATGAAGTTTTCATAGCACCAGTTGGGATCCTCACTGCCTGGTGGCCAAAAAATTTGTATTTATAGTCCATTTTTAGCTCTTAAACACTTACTCTGTTTAAAGGCGTGATATACATTCAGCAACGTAAGGTGGTCCCCATCTATGTGCGCGAACCGCATCTTTGCCTCGTCGGCTGCTTTCTTGGCCTCATTGGGTCGCACGAAACATTGTGGCACTTTTGTAAATTTTTTAATACATTTTGGAATTTAATTGATTTATTATACGCATGTTCGGAGGTTTTATAAATACATTTGTTGTTATGCGTAAGTAATCATTGTGCTAACAATTCTTACCTAAGCAATCTAAAAACATGGCTTAAATATGAATATGTTGTATGAATATATGTATGTATACTCTGTACATGAAATGGACAAGACAGACCCCACAAAGTATATATATTCTTGATCAGCATGACAAGGCGAGTCGATCTAGTCGTGTCTGTCTGTCCGTATGATCTCCTAGATCTCAGAGACTATAAAAGCTAGAGATCGAATTTTGCACAAAGACGCCCTGTGTGTATGCTATACGAGTTTGTTTTAATTTTTCGATTTTCCCCCCACGTCCCCCCTATTGGGGGTTTCTCCGTAACGCCGTTCGTGTAACCGCTTATATCTCGGAGACTAGGGACTAGACCTAGGGACATCAAATTTGAAGTCCAAGATACCTTATGTGAATACGCAGAAAATGTTTTTTTTTTTTGGAATTCCCAAATCAATTTCTGTAATTATTCTAAACATATGTACAGAGTATTTAGCTTCTCTACTTGTTAGTTTTAGATACATACAGGGGGCGCCATCTTTTATGTCGGTATGTAAACATTGAATATCCTTGAAAATAAACAACCGATTTTCAAGTATGAGATATTTTTATTTCTGTACAATCGGTTCACTAATGACAAAGTTATTCAATATTTACATACCGACATAAAAGATGGCGCACCCTGTATATGCAATGTATGCGAAACTATTTCTTAAGAATGCAATAAAAAAATTATCTGTGAATTATTTCCTCTACAGTTCGTTTAAAGCTAAAAAATAATACAACTTGCTCCAACCGCAAAGGTTGGAAAAACTAATCCTAACATATTTTTTTTAAGTACCGTCTGTTAAGAGACGTTTGTACAAAGCAAGTACACTCCTCGCCACTTTCAATAATTTCATTCCAGTACTACGCCCAGGAGCGGGTTTACTTTTCTTCTTTTTGTTCCAGCTATATGTGCATATAGCTTAGCGCCGGAAGATCGTTTGGGTACAGGGAATTTCACTGTCAGACTTACTCGACTAGCATTCTGTATTGTTTTATATAGCATTGTAAGACAACACATTCATTGTGGTCGACACAAATTGTAACTTGCGAAACAGAGCATCACACTTTCAACTCTGCTATACAGATGGACTAAATAATAGATTTCTTAACGAAGTGTTTGTATTTTGTTATAGAAAAAGATTAATAGTTGCACAAATATAACGTGCAGAAATATCGTTATTTCATCAATTATCGATTCGCTTTCGAGTTATGATTGCAGAGTGTTTGTTTTGTCCATACAAGTGGCGAAAAGTGTAAAATTCCGGTGGAATTCCCCCGCGTTCAAAATAGACTGACACTGACATAAACACCTATTGTATGCAGTGTGCATATATCTCACCCGACAACATAGCCGTGATCGAGAGTATCTCGTTGGAGCAATTGTGTTGGCAGCTTGCTATCAGCATCTTAGCCAACTGCGGATCCAGTGGGAACTCTGACATAACAGCACCCAAGTCTGTTAAATTACCATCATCATCGAGAGCGGCCAAATAGTTTAGCAGCTCAAGGGCACGCATCAGCGTTTCAGGTGCAGGTGGGTCCATGAAGTCAAAATGTACTAAATCGTCGATACCAAGTTTTTTCAACTGTAACACTACTGTGCCTGATAAAAAATTTTGTAAGCTTTAAAACAAATATTATTTAACCCAACTTACCTAGATTTGAACGTAATATTTCCGGATAAGTATTATCCTGCATTTCGTTTTTAAAAGCCTTTTCAGTATACAAACGGAAACATTTACCAGGTCGCGTTCGGCCCGCACGTCCAGCACGCTGCTGTGCAGAGGCTTTCGAAATTGGTGAGACGAGTAAACTTTCCACGCGTATGCGCGGATTGTATACTTTTTGCTTGGCAAAGCCCGGATCAATAACAAATACGACCCCATCTATGGTTAATGAAGTCTCAGCAATGTTGGTAGACACGACAACCTTACGACCAATGGCTCCATTTGCACTTGGCGGTGGAGCTGTTTCAAAAATACGTTGTTGTAGATTTGGAGGGAGCGTCGAGTACAGAGGTATGCATTTAAGTTCGCCAATTTCGGAGCCAAGATTATCAATTTCACGCTTAATACGCTTACAGGCTTCCTCGATCTCCTCTTGACCAGTAAGAAACATAAGTATATCACCTATTAAATATATTTTTAGTTTCGGGATTAGCGTTGCAAATGGTAGCAGAAAAAAATTGTACAAACCCTCAATGTCCTCACACATATGTATTTGTATAACCGTACGTATAGCAGCCTCTAAGTAATCCCGTTCTGGCTCTGGTGTATAGAAAATCTCTACGGGATGAGTACGACCCGGTACATTCATAAGCGGCGCATTGTCAAAATACTGCTGAAATTTTCCTGCATCAAGTGTCGCAGACATCACGACTAATTTTAAGTCATTGCGTTGGCGTATGACTTCTTTTAGAACGCCCATAAGTATATCTGTTGCTAACGTACGTTCATGCGCTTCATCGAGTAGTATAACTTGATACTGTTCTAACATCGGATCGGACATGGCTTCACGCAACAACATACCGTCCGTCATATATTTCAACACCGTTTTCGGCGAAGAGCAGTCTTCGAAACGTATGGAGTACCCTACCTCTTCACCAAGATTTACATCCATTTCCTCAGATACGCGCTGCGCCACAGACATAGCGGCCACGCGTCGGGGCTGTGTGCAGGAAACACCTTTACGTCCAATAGACACGGCAAACTCCACACACCACTGTGGTATTTGTGTTGTCTTGCCTGAGCCCGTTTCACCTACCAACACAATGCATTGATGCTGATTAAGTAAACGCATAAAATCTGCTTGGTACTCAAACACCGGTAAGGTAATGCGTTTCTTGTACAAGTTTTGATAACGCTGAGAGTACGGCTTCATCGTGTACGGATTAATAGTTGGTGGCTGTTTATTTGGAACGAATCCCCCCGCAATAGGTGCCATGGAACCAGCGGCGGAAGCTGAAGTCGAAGCCGTTGTTTCCCTATATTGGTTGAACATTTTAATTTTTTATCTACTACAACTCGACGTTTGTTTGTTTACTTTTTTAGTTTGAATCCATACGTTTCACCAACTTCGATGCGACGCTTAGACATCTCGCTAGCAGTAAAATGGTTCCACAAACTTCTAAATAATAAATAAGATTTACGAGCAGACTAATGCCGACAACATGGAATATAAATTCGCTTTCTGGTAGAGATGTACGAAAATTGATAATCGGAGCTTCGATAACTTTTTTCACGATTTATTTATTTATAGCTAAAGCAGGTCATCCACAGTCGAATTTGCTGCGCTCGACGAAATGTTCGACGTTATGGAGGTATTGAATTTCAGTTTTCGACGTTTTGTTCGCAAAGAATAGAAATGTTTCTATCTTGCGGCTGTTCGTGCCAAAATGTTCGACAGTGTTGCCCGAGCATCATTTGTTAAAATATTTAGGAAGTAAATACGTGCCAAATGAGCAACGAATTCTCCAAATCATTGAATGCCCCATTGAGCCACCATTGTGGAGAAATAATAGTGAAAATTGCAAAAATAAACATTTACGCAACAAAGCATGGACAAATTTACTCATTTTGTTGCTATACGCATATTGATTTGCCATCAAAACGAAAATTGTGTTTTCGTCCGCATCCATTTTAAAGTTCCCACTTAAAAAAATTTTATAGCCTGTACACTAAAGGTAAAAGGCTATACTAGTTTTGTGTGAATGTATGTAACACAGGGAAGGAGCAGACCCCACAAAGTATATATAATATTGATCAGGAAGACAAGTCGAGTCGATATAACCATGTCCGGGTCTCAGGAAGTACAAGAGCAAGAATAACCAAACTCGGTATTCAGATTCCTCTAAGTCCGAGAAAGGACGAGTTTGTGTTTTTTTCTGATACACCTCCCTCCCACCACTCCACCACAATTCGTGTTTTTCATAACTCCCGTAATTCTTGTAATTTTGGCATATACACCCAGCTTGTGGTTATGTATCCGTATGTCAAGTTTCATCATGATAGGTCAATTCTGAAGAAAGTTATAGCCATAAATAAAATCACTGCCCATGCTCTGCTTGGAGCTCTGCCCGCAGCGCTGACCACAGTTGTTGTTGCTGCTTTGGTTCAACTTTGTGCTGCATACATACTCGCATATAAACACGCATTGGCACGATGATGTAAATGTATGCTGTTGAAACTGTACATAAACATTTTTTTAAAATAATTAATTGTTTTTAAGTAATTTTTTTTCAATTTCCGTTTTTGTGAAGAATACAGGCCATTTTACTGTTGGGCTTGCTCGACTGTAACGTTCTCTCTTGTTTAGTATGTGATGTTTTCGAGCAATATTTGCCTCGTTAGTGGGCAACTGCATTTCTGCTGTCCAGTGCTGAAATTTTAACTTTTTCACCGCTAGACCTGGCTTATGTTAAAATGCCAGTGCGGGAAAAATTCAAAGTTAGCTGGCTGCGGGATTTCTAGCTTTAAAAAAATTTACTTAGCCTTTTTCTAGCTTTACTTTATTTTTTTTCACCATATATTTTTTCCTTATCTTTGTCCACACTTAAAATCATGAATATAATCAGTGATAAACGACTTTCGATAATAAAATATATCAAAATCACCTCCAGGCTCGAGCATAAGCTGTTTATATACTCTGTACATGAAATGTACAAGAGTACATTAGGTTTGCGGGAGCTGAAAAATGTAACAGGCAGAAGGAGGCGTGGCAGACCTCACAAAGTATATATATTCTTGATCAGCATGACGAGACGAGTCGATCTAGCCCCGTCTGTCTGTCTGTCCGTATGAACACCTAGATCTCAGAGACTATAAGAGGTAGAGACTCCAAATGCGCTATGACTGTACGCTGTGTAAGTTTGTTTTATTTTTTTGATTTTCCCCCCACTTCCCCTCTATGGGAGTTCTCACGATTTTTCATTCGTATAATCGCCTATATCTCGGAGACTATAAGACCTAGGAACCCCAAATTTTAGTCCAATATGTGAAAATGTGTATTTTGGAATTTCCCTCCCACCCCCCTCTCCCATGCAAATCGTAACCCCGTAATTCTTTGAATTTCGTACTCAAATTTTGCAAATACCCCCAGTTAGTTCTTATGTGTCCGTATGCCAAGTTGTATCACTATGATAGACCGATTCAACAAGAAGTTATAGCCATAAATATATTTGCTGTTCAAGCGCTGCCCGCAGCTGTTGTTGACGCTGATGCTTTGGTTGACTGCAAACATGCTTACACACACACGAATAGATGCGCATAGGCATACATACACTCACATAGACGCAATAGCTATGTAAATGTGCAATTATACACCCTTTACGTGAGTTCGAATACCAAGAGAGGTAAAATCGATCAAAAGTTTTTTTTTAATTCTCTTAATTTTTTTAATTTCTATAAATATTTTAAGCATATGTACAGAGTATTTCAAAGTCGGTACACCCGACTTTAGCTTTTTTACTTGTTTCTTCTTCGCTGCGTTAAGATTTCTAAAGTGTAAAAACAAAGTGTTCCAAATTAAGAAATGCGATCAATTTAAATACGCTTAACTCCATTTTAAGCTTATGCTGGTTTTTTGTAAGCACCATAAACCATATTAAGAATTATATTAATTAATTTTCAATTTAAGATACGGACTTAATCGTAACAACAAAATTATCCTGACGAAGAAGCAGTGAGTTTAGATAAACAACTGTAGAATTAAAAATTTGTAGCTATTATAAATTATGAATTAAGAACATAGAATAATAATATAAAATAATAATATGAAAACATAATATGAAAACATTGAAACATATATTTCCCTAAATTCAACCAAAAATATAGTGTTTTTAAAGCCGGCTCGGTTTTTAGCTTATGTTGCCTTGGATTTAGCTGTATTTTTTTGGCAATCTAGCTTTTCTTGCAACGTGTTCAGGCTACGAATTCGCCTAGGTATAGCCTGATTAAAGAAAAAAAATCAAACTATGTACTATAGCTGCACAAATAATCGATTAAATCGCTGTTGAACACTTTTACAAAAACTCGATTTGTTTTTGGCGAATCAATAAAACGTATAAAGTTAAATGCATTCTTTAATTACTACATCATTCCTTTAAAATGACGCTGATGATGTATGATCTCATACTTAATTGACACTACATATTAAATTTGTCTAGTTTATGATTTGATTTTTTACAAAATTGATATAATATCGAAAACGTTAGATTCAATCCTCAACGTTAATCCTGCAACTGTAAATTGCACAGTGGTCTGAATTGCCAACTTTTCGGAATAAAATAAACGGATGTTATGACAGAGCCTAAACTTGGCTCATTGAATAGTTTTGTTATATATAAGAACGGATCGATCCGATAAATAAAAAGTATATTAGTATACGAATCTTTACTTCTCCAAACTTCTGTGTAAAGTTTTACAAAATTAGCAATTTATTAATATTCTGAAATTTGTCTTACAAGAGAACAGTTGAAACACACAAAAATATTCTTATTCTAATTTTAACTTTCTATTATTTAAACATTATCTAAATATATATACATTTATAAAATTATGTAAGAGGTGAGGAAATATTGAGAGTCGGCACTATCGATAGTCAACGAAAAAAACCATCGATAGTAAGCTTATTTATATATTTATAGACAAACAGAGCTCTCGATGTGAGAAAAAAAACCAAAACAATGCAGAACTTATACAATATAAACAACAATTTAAACAAAAAAAGAAACCGATTTCAAACTATTAATAGGCACTAAAAAGTAAAAAATAATTGCGTATTCTTCTACAACTTAATATTCAATATATAATGTACATACAATTATTGTTAATTTTGGAGTCGGTGTCAGCGGTCGCGCGCCGCGCCAGTCAAGAGAAAGAGGTTCTTCATTACGAACCATTTCAGATTCTTTTCTCTTTCTATATCTACTACGTCGTTCTTACGGTAATTCCTTGATTACCCGTATGTCTCAGCATAGTGTCGTATTAAAATTCGTTTGATTTGTTTAACTAGGTACCGGTTTATTTGTTGTTTCAAGGAAGCAGATATTGTCACAGTAGTTATACGTGTATTGTCGTATAAAAGTTAATTTGAAATTGGGTTTAATTAGGTATTGGTAATCTGTCACAGTATATTGTCGTTCGTATAAAAGTTAATTTGTAAAAAAAAGTATTTCTTAAAGTATTCTCATATTATTGCTGGTAGATTGATTGATTGATTGATATATTGTAGTGTTTCCTTGGCTGACACCGACTCCAAAAATAACAATAATTGTATCTACATTATATATTGAATATTAAGTTGTAGAAGAATACGCAATTATTTTTTACTTTTTAGTGCCTGTTAATAGTTTGAAATCGGTTTTTTTTTTGTTTAAATTGTTTTTTTTTTTGGATTTTTAGTGAATGTGAAGTACACTAACTAATGTGTATGAATATGGGTAGACCTAATAAACGTGTTTCTCATATGAGACAGCGCCGCTTAAATGAAGCAAAAGAAGTCATGGAGAAACTCCTCTTTCATGTTCTAAAGAATTCGTCGTGGATATACAAAGACTGAATCGAGCACTCTTGTTCTCAATATATTTTGTCGAAAACGTTCATCACGCTATCTGTCTGTCGTCTGCGAATATCTTCTGTTCTGATTTGTTGCGGCTCTTGTTGCAGTTTGTGTATTTTTGCTACACGCATTGTTACGGTTAGATTTTTTCGACGGCATTATACTGAAATTGAAATTCTATTTCACATGATATCTCATTTAAATTTGACTCATCTACCGGGTGCCTTCGCATGATATCTAAAACCCATGAACATTTTGTATGTTTTAAGAATTATATGGATTTCTCATGGATGCCATTGTCAGAATTTAACTAAATTAAAATGGGACCACATGGGAATCATTACCTTTCAAATACAAAAGGAATCATCAAAATCGGTTTACACAGTCGAAAGTTCTGAGGTAGCAATGAACAATACAGTCGAATTGAGAACGTCCTCGTTTGCCGAACCTAACCAAACTCTCATCAAAGTACCCTTGAAGTACATCCTTTCCAATAAAAAAAGAATCATAGAAATCGGTTATCGTGATATAAAGTTATTCGTTCATTTGTCTTGCACATACTTAATACAAATTTAAGACTTATGCTGTTTTCTCATGGATGCCATTGTCAGAACTGGACTAA